ACTGGGTGTGTACCACTTACAGACACACACGGTCCAATGGCCTACTATTGAAAACACAAAGCTTTGAAGGGTGATTATCACTTTGAATAATGGAATGTTTCAAGCCATACATTTCCTTAGCAGATTTATAAATATTCTTCATACCCTGGGAGGATTTCATAAGAAATTCATTAACTTTCTCATGTGTCCACTACAAGCATTCAGTCCCCTTGGAAATACTTCCAAGCATAACCTACTATGTAGATATAGACAATAATATCACAATCGATATCCCTTGCTGAGTAACTACAACATGCAAGCCAGTTAATATTATAAATCTCTTTTAATAGAATGAATACCATATGAGGTAAATATTATTTGAGAGTTGGGGAATTTGGCGAGATACCACAGCTAATATTTTACCTTTCAAACCTTCTTTCCTTCTTTCTGTCCTTCCTTCCCATCCATCCATCTGCTCATACAGATTTGACCTTGTTCCAGAAAACATTTACCATGATTTTCAAAGAATGTATAGAAATGCAAAATAAATCAAAATGAAAATAGATGTTAACTTTCTAAAAGTACGTATGTGTAGAAATATATATTTTATAGGAAAAAAATTAGAATGGCATAGACCACTATGTTAACAGATATTACAGATAAACTTTTGGTTTTCTATTTTAATTTTATGGGTTTTTTTTTTCAAATTTTCTGTAGATTTAGAATTAGAATAGATTTAGAATTAGAATAAATTTAGCATTAGACCTTAAAAAGGTTTATGTTTTAAACAGGTGAGAAACACGTAGGAAAGAGAAAATGGAACAGAAATAAGATTCCTAAGTACACAAAACGGAAGCCATAAAGTAGAGGCAGTTCACAAAACTGGCTCTAAAGGACCACTTGCACGTGGTCCTAGGAAACAATCAATTGACTTCTACAGCCAGTTAGATGAGTTGAGGGGGCAGATATGGTTGAACCAGGAGCCAACGGTCTTTACTTGCCATCAGCATTTCTCAAATGACTCCGAATTCTGAGAGATGTTAGTATTTTATGAAAAACAAAAAATGAATGGGATGTTCTGTGAATAAACAAGTTAGGAAATGATGATTCTCTATACTTATCTTGGTGACTCACAATGTACATTAACATAATTAGGGTTTTGAGAAACAATGGAGGAAGGAAATATGCATAAATTGGTTTAACCGAGTGTTTCTCAAATATATTTGCATGTGGAACCCTTCTTCTACTGCTGAATACTGTTTGGGAAACTCCACACCACACTGTTTATATACCAACCATTAAAACATAAACAGGGATATCACTAGAGCAGAAACACAACAGAAAGCCAAAACATTACTTCTGACACTTGGTCAATAAAGAAATCCATCCGTGTGCTGCATAATGGAAGCTAAGTGGACCTGAGGTTACACAGATCATTTCATTGAACATGTTCTCTTTAGGGTTTGGAACCCAATCCTTTCGTGAGGCAGAAATGAGCCTAGGGGCTCTGACCCTAGGCATGCCTGAAAGAGAAACCAGTAAGAGGCAGAAAGCACTGAATTCACACCTCAACTCCAAACACCAAATTGCTCTGCCTAGTTTCCTCGCCTAACCCAAATGCGGTCAACAGCATTTCTGAAAGGCTAGGGTACCTAGGTTCAGAGCTCAGAACTAGAAGTCACAATAGCACATCACAGGACCAGCCTATTTCACCCTTGGCATCATCCCGAAACTCCCCACTTCTCAAGAAGAGACCTTAGGCATGCAGGCTCAGGTTGGTGGCAGGGCAGGACTAGCCAAGCCAGAGGACAGATCCACACGGTGATCCTCCTCACCCATTTCTCCTCTGTGGACAGCATTTATTCAAGACCCTGTCCCACCGTGACGGCCGCAAGTGGAAGGAAAGGGGAGAAAGTGAGCAAGAACGAAGCCAAGTTTAATCTTAGACCCACGCTCAGAAGCATCCAATTTACTTTCACTATCTAAATAGATCTTAACATGGTAGGAAAAACATTTTAAATTATACTCACTGTTCTTTCAATTTTTTGGTATTTATATCTTGAGTAACATTCAGGCTTCATGGATGTGTATGGACAAAAAAAATTTTGGTATGTGGTCATGTCATAACTAATAACTAAGGAATGTCAAGTTTTCTATTTTTATATGGAATCAGCCAAAATAATTTTTAGAACTCAAATAGCTACAGTGGTAAATAATGTTATAGGAGATGCTTCCCCTCTAATCCGCAGGGAAGTAAAGGCTGTCATGAGAATATAAGCAGTGGTTTCTTTACTTTTTATCTATTCCTCCAATCAAATTCTTCCCAGAGAAGCTGCAGTTTCCATTCTCAGAAAGAGCATTGCCATTGCCAACAGACAGAGCAGAAAGGAAGACATACAAAAGAAGGCTTGCTCTATCAAAATAACAAACACACCACATGCTCCATTACGTAATTGAGTAAGTCTCATGCATTCACTTGCTATATTCCAAGATCCACAAGTTTGAATAAAACATACCTGTAAAAACTGTTATTGAAATACAAAGTCAAAGTCTAATAGTTTTCTTAAATTATGAAGCTAATTGATTTTTTTAATGGATCATTCACTTGTTCCTTGACCCTAAAAGATTTTTAGTCTAGGCCTCCTGTATGTTGTAAATTCATTATGACCAACCTAGTTCCCAGAAGTATTGCATCATTAGAGGTACAGAGATGAAGACTAAAAGCAAAACTGAGAAGTGAACAGTGACTTAGGCAAATTAATAATACAGTGAAACCATTACATAAAAATTAGTATTTGGCTGTAAATATTTGATAAAAGTATTTTGGAAAATGTTGAGAATTCTGCATTGAAACACAGCAGTCACCTTAAACTACAAAGAAAGAATATTTAGAATATTAAAAATGGTATACGATGAATGAAGCCCCTTTGGCTGGCATCAAGATAGGGGAGAAGCACAATGTTTCTTTCTATTGCTCAGATTCCTCTCTCACTAAATCACATATTTGCCTGGGGATAAACGAGTTCATATATTTACTTGGTATATAGCCTTCCTTTAGAGAGTAAAGAAAGTCTTTTAGAATTGAAGTTTATACTAGTGAGCAGTTAAATACCATATTACACACACTAAGGAACACTGTGCACCATGGCCTAAAAACAGTGATTTATTAATAAGTTTGGGGATCCCAAAGTTGGTGAAGATTAGAGAGAATCCTAGAAAGCAAGAAAGATGGAATGATTTTTAAAAAATAAAAATTGAAGGGGCCAGCCCGGTGGCGCAAGCGGTTAAGTGCACACGCTCCGCTGCGGCGGCCCAGGGTCCGCCGGTTCAGATCCTGGGCGCTCACTGACGCACCGCTTGTCAGGCCATGCTGTGGTGGCATCCCATATAAAGTGGAGGAAGGTGGGCACGGATGTTAGCCCAGGGCCAGTCTTCCTCAGCAAAAAAAAAAAAAAAAAAGGGGAGGATTGGCAGATGTTAGCACAGGGTTGATCTCCTCACAAAAAAATAAAAAAAAAAAAATAAAAATTGGAGAAGAACCAGAAGAATAAACTCAGATTTGCATCATAAATTAAAAGTCTATATTTTTCCCACATATATATATATATATTTGTGTGTGTGTGTGTGAGGAGATCAGCCCTGTGCTAACATCCGCCAATCCTCCTCTTTTTTTTTTTGCTGAGGAAGATGGCCCTGGGCTAACATCTGTGCCCATCTTCCTCCACTTTATATGGGACGCCGCCACAGCATGGCTTGCCAAGCAGTGCGTCGGTGCGCGCCCGGGATCCGAACCAGCGAACCCCGGACCGCCGCAGCGGAGCGCGCGCACTTAACCGCTTGCGCCACCAGGCCGGCCCCTCCCACTTATATATTTTATACTCTAAAAAGCTACAGAGAATCAGAGTAACTATACTGCAAAAGGTATAGAGGTATTAGAGAGATGAACAGAAAAATGTCCAAACAATCACTATTAAAGCAAACTGTCATGAGATAGCCTTTTTAGTTCTTTCATTTATTAAGTATAAGATTGAAAGTGTCCCACTCTAGAATTGTGGTATGAAGAGTGGACTTAGTCTTTAAGACGCTGGGCTACAATCCTAGCTATGGACTATAGCTAGGGTTATTTTGAGCTTTATAACTTCGATCAAGGCACCAGAAACTCAAACTCCAGATTATTCAAAGTAAAACAGGCATGGTAGCTCTTGCTGTGGCAGCTCTGAAAAGGAAATGTCGTGATACAGAGGAGCTCACTATGAGCCTGTAAACTCTAAAAACGAAAGTGTGAGACGGCTTTCTCATCCTCTGGGAATTACAATGAGAACAATTCTAATCACTTATTTATAAAAATGGTTTTCAAGTGTCTGCTTAAAGTAATTCCTCATTCATTTCATTGGTCTTTGGGTTCTCCACATGGAAAGATTCTATTAACAATAGATAATCTTTCTGGAAGAGATGGAATAAAATTTAAGTGGAAAATGCCATGAAATGTGAAGACAGTGAAATAGAAAGAGAAAAAAGAAATAAATGTCAGGTCTGAAAGAAAAATAACATAGTAAAAAACTAACAGCCTCCTCAATTCTTATTATAAATCAAAATATTTTAAATGAGACATAAAAATTCAAATAGTTTTATTTCCAGATGAGCATTTCTTAAAAATTATTATAATATACTACATGCTCATAGAAGAATGAGACCGGATTTTAAATATTTCTTTGTGATTTTAAAAGTGATCATAAATTCAGTATTAACATTTATTTATTCATCTACTATGTCCTACTATCTTCTTTGCAAAGGTCTTAACTAAAACCATTCAAGTTCACTTTAATACCTCAAATAAATATAAGGTTTTCTTCTTTTAATCTTTCTTTACATTGTATTCACCCCACAACCATCAGTATTTGGATTGACACAGAAAAAATAATCAATTGAATGCAAATTCTTTATATTAAAAAAAAAGAAAGAGTAGACAGAAAACAAAGAACATCTATCTAATGAGGTTTAATCAAATAACTGAAGTCTACCTCTCCTGTTCCTGCTTCATTCGTATTCTCTCCTCTTCTGATGTAAGGGAGTCCTGTATTTTTATTTTACCCGTTTTCTCAATCTTGTCATCTTTTCGATGTTTGCCAAACCTGTTGATGACAAAAAATTCTAACTTGTCAATATATACAAAATGAGTTTTCCTTCTTTGGTGATAAAGACACATGTACTCAAAATGAGGGCCAAAATGTCTCCTGCAGTTCACTAGTTTTGCCCAGTATTAATATTTCAATCAGATTATTTTATTCATTTTTAATTAGAACTTTCCAGAGAAAACTTTTTGGAAAATGACCTCAATATCCATTTTTCTTTTGACAAAACAAAAATAAATAACAACAACAAAAACCTTGCAGTTCACCCTTATTAAACAAATAATTAATAAATGTACAGGACTGAGTGCTAAAGATTTCAGATGCCAGCAGATAAAAATCTGCATTGAAGTGGGTTTCTCTTAGGACTAAAGAATGATAATCCACAATCGTTTATTTAATAATCTCTCCATAAACAACTATTCTTTATTTGCACACTCAAGTTTATTGGAAACATTCATCATAGTTTAAAAACTGACAAACAAGACCATGTTTGCAAGGTTTAACGTACAAAAGATAATTTACAGTGCTATAATACTTTGAGCTTATTAAATTGAAAGCTTTAAGGCATTCTCATCAAATATTATTCCTAAATCTGATGAAAAGCAGTTGCTGAATGTGGCATCTCTGACTTGGAAATCTATATCTGATCAAAAACAAACAAGAGACAAAAACGCATAATTCAAAAACAGTCCCCATAAACCTCTACAGATGCGTACTGAACTCCAGGCTCTTTAATGAAACACTAACATGATTCTCTTCTGGCATCCAAGATGTCTCAGAAACCTCAGACTGGGTATCAATTCTTTTTCTTGCTCTGTTACTTTTCTCTACAAAAGACCATGTTGCCTGGAATGCATGCTACATACCCTCAAATAATATTCATCTGTAGTGATTTGGCCCCCAGAGGTTTCAAAAAAGAAATGTTTTACAGACAGTTACTCAACTCAGCATTCATAAATCTATAAAGTATACTAAGTATCTCTTTCTGAAAAGGACAAAGTAGGAACCTCGCTTATGGTGACAATCATACTGCAAAAGAGAGGTGTAGGATCAAAGTTGATATAAAAGAGAAAAGAGTATTTCAACTAATGGCTTGGTTGGTAGCACAGTCGTGCTTTTATTACCACAAATCTGATTTCAAATACTGGTCTATACATGAAGTGTATGTGGGAACATCTCAGACGTTAACTAAAGTGACACGGTGTTTGCAAACGGAAAACATATAAATAAGGAAGGGAAAGCATTCTTAAAATGTTAAAATAGAAAAAAAATTAAAATACCACCACCACCACTCCTTTAAAAATTATGTATAATACTAGGCGGCAATCAAGACTGGCTGTAAAATTGACTTCTATAAAACAAATCTACCCTTAAGATTTAATCTTATTTGGAAATGAGAAGATCATCGCAATTGCAAAAAAAAAAAGAATCCCCAAGAACTTAAGTCCAGAATCCGACCACTTCTCACAAAGGACAAAATATATACAATACTTTTAAAACTAATAAAAACAAAGCATTAAAAATAAAGACTTTCCTTTATTTTTGTCAACATATCAATAATGCCTAAGAGTTAAGCATAATGATTGACTTTATAGAATGAATGAATGAAGGAACAAATAAATGAAAGAGCAAACATAAAAAACTGATTCATCCCACTAGGAGCCAACATCTAGAACATAATGTTCACTCATTCTACAAAAATTTATTGATCGTCTACAAGGAATTCTGGGGATAGGACAGAGCTGGACGGATTAACTTGAGTGTTATCAGCACAAAGACGGTATTCAAAGCCCATTTGACTTCCCATCCTGAAAATTCTACAACATTGAGGCATCTGGAAATATAAAATGTATTCAATTCTAACTTGAAGAAAAGTTTAAGTTCAAATCCTAATACATGTTATTTACTTATAATTAGGTACTCTTAAAGGTGAATCATTTTAACCATTTAGTTTTTCAGTTCATAAATGTCCTTCAAATGATACAATGCTGCCATACTCATCTGTTTTGTTTTTAAAGACTGCCGTGCTGGCTCACATTCTAGATTATGTCCATTCAATCCCATATCATATTTGGGAAACATTATGCAATGACTCAAGATATGTTATCCATCTGAACCAAAAAGCACAGTTTCATCTTACAGGAAGAGCATGTATATCTGCCCTTTGAGTTAATAACAGGGGGAAAAACTGAGAGTGGTTGATTTTTCCATGTTTTAAAATAGTTTAGATATTTCCAGCCCGGAATCTAACATTAAGTTTAATTAGGTATGTTAAAATGTTTTTTAAAAAGGTCTTGGTCTTAAGACGCAGAAGCAACCCAAGTGCCCATTAACTGATGAATGGATAAAGAAGATATGGTATATATAGAGAATGGAATACCACTCAGCTGTAAAAAAAGACAAAATTGTCCCCTTTTCCACAACATGGATGGAACTTGAGGGTAGTTAAGCAAAATAAGCTAGACAGAGAAAGACAAACACTGTAAGATTTCACTCATATGTAGAAGACAAATACATAGACAAAGAGAACAGATTAGTGGTTACCAGAGGGGAAGGGGCTTTGGGGGTGGGCCTAAGGCATAAAGGGGCATATATATATATATATGGTGACTGAGACATAATAATGTACAACTGAAATTTCACAATGTTATAAACTATTATGACCTCAATAAAATAACAAAGAAAAGGTCTTAGTCTTACTTTGTGAAGAAAGTTTTAGTTTTGTCTCAGTCCAGAACTTTCAGCTTTTTATCTTTACATGAGTAAGAAGAAAAAAAAAAAGAGTAAACCCTGAGTCACATTGAAGAACTGCATTTTCTCTCACTGTATTTGGAATCAAAATATTATTTTCCTAGACTGTGCCCTAATCACCAGAATATACTATTTTATTTGTAAATTTATTATCAAACTGTTATAATACATTTTCCTTTTTTAAATTATAGATTCAAGATTAATGTATGAAAAAGTAAAGAAATCATAGATAAAATGTTCATAGGTTAGCATTTGGACATTTCTCTTAATGTCTGCTTTAGTTAATAAATCATGTGATTACTTCAAGACATACTAAAAATGACAGCATTTTAATTTATAATTGGGGTAAAAATGAATCCCTTTGCTATAATTTTTTGATAGAATGAAATAAAGACTGTAAATAAAAAAAATATACCAACCATTCCAGAGTGTAAAAAGAAAAAGAAAGCAGCTACACCTTCATTCGCTCTAATTGACAATATATTCTAGTGTTCTTCTTAGTTTGTAGTTGCTTAATTCTTCCTGAAAAAGGGGGGAGGTCACTGAAAAATTTCAGCTATGCAAAGTCAGTTTCATAGCTGAAATCAGTAACCAAGCTATGAAGATAATCATTTAACAGCAAGATGCTTAACAACTTGGAAGACATCAATTACATTTATTTTATTATCTTTTAAAAGCCACAGATGAATTTCAAATAGGTCACTTTCCAAGGAACAGTATAGCTGAAAAAATACTGTGCTAATAGTATATCCAGGAAGGAAATCCATTCTCAGCAGAGAATCAGTTTGATGATCTGCCTTCTGACTAACCCACACACATTCAAATAGAAAACTCCACCACCCAATGGGTGAAAGTGGTCGCCTACCCCACCACCTCAGGAAGAATTTGCTAGTTATATCACAGTCATAACATAATGGAACGACCTTTTTTGAAAAATAGAGATAGAAAGAAAAATACCTTGAGAAAAACTTGGTAGAGAAGAGAAAAATTGCTTTAGAGGAACTGCTGCATGGAGACAGAAGGTGTGCTAAAAAGAATGCCAACCTGCCACTAGAGACTCTTCCCAGAAAGAAGAGTGGATGAGCCCTGTCTTATCAGAGTAGAACTGATTGTAACATTTCTTAAACATATGGCTTTCTTCATAAAGGATACCGCAATGCTTTCATTCCGCTAAAGTAATCTCAAAGTAATCTGCTAAATGGGTTTTACTGTGACGCGTTACAAATGAGCTCACTGCCGTCTGCCAGATCAGCCATATATATTATTACAGTAAAGAATGATGGCAAAGTGTGCACTTGTCAATGAATGGGGAAAGCAAAAGGCAAACAAACCAATCAAAACAAAGAATCACAACAAAACTCTATTGTTTTTATATAGAAAGAAGTGTCGTTAACAATTAATTATTGGTAGAGTTTCGTGCTATTAAACCATCATTTTGGTTTTTAGTAAATTAACGTAATTCTCTCTGCAGTATAAATAACATTGAAATATTTTACCATGTTTTATACTGCTACTAAAATTAGAGATCTTTAGAAAAAATTATGCTGAACACATTGCATCCTGCTATAAGTAAAATAAAAATATAATTGGTTTTGTAATAAAAGGGCTTTTCCTAATATATTTAAAAACACGATACATGAAAAAGAAAGTCTTAAAAATCTGCTGCCAAATTTAAAAATAGAGGAACAGAATATCCAGAACAATTATCTTGTAAGCTCTGAGGAATAATTTTTACAATAAGACTTTCTTCAAAACAACCTCACTGAAATGTCACCAGAAATCTGGTATTTCTCACTGCTAATTACCAAGGTCTTCATGTCTAAGGAGGGCTTTGCTACAATACTTGTCTTATAACTTATTCTAAGAAATGTGTAGGTTAAGGGATACTGCTTGGCTGAGGAAGAGAATTGAAAATGGGTCAAATTAGAATTCACTGTCAGCCACCTCCCTCAATGCCGACTCCTGCATTGCAGTGGTCAACACAGCCATCTAACTCAATACTTGGCCCTGCATGTTGCCCCTCGTTTCTACATATTTGCACCATCACATGATTCAATCACTTCCTTTTTCCAGGAATCCGTTATCCCTTTCTGGAACCACCCGGTTTCCTCTGGTGGACACATGTGTTTGTACAGCCATTGTGTTAACCCGTCTTTGACCACTGCCTGCTGTGATAATGCTGTCATTTGCCCATAAGATCCTTGAGAGATACCAGCTGCCCAATGAGTCAGGTTCAATATCCTGGACAC